TAAAGGCAAAGTAAGTGGCACAGCACTGAACATAATCTTCAGAAACCAAGAGAGGACAGCCCCAGCCCCAGTGGGAAGCACGAGAAGAGAACAACTTTTGGGGAGCCAAACGTCATGGAGAGGTCTCATATCACACTGTTCAATTCTCAATAGAAGGGAGAGGAAGGGACTGACCATGAAAATGCCACTGCAACACCAATAACCACGCTAGGCATACACTGACACCTACTTCTTGGTGATACTATTCACAGATTTCCTTCAATAAAAGTTTGAGCCAGAAGCTCTAAACCCAAGGACTTGTGTCTGGAGCTTTTATTAAAATTCTATGCAAAATGTATGCAAAGCTTATACTGTTATCTCAAACAGATCTCAAAAGTACTTTTAGTTCCATAAAATGAATTGCTAAAGTGCAAAGGCTTCCCAAGACAGGGCAATAATGGCACCAGGACCTCCTCTAAATATTTATATAATGTGATTGCAGCCATTTTCCAAAATCCTTCATAAAGGTATTAAAACATTAAGAGGTGATCCTAACTCTTAGAGGGAAAGTCTAACTATTATGAAAATTTCCCTTTTCAGTAAAACCCAGAGACCTTTTCCTTTGCTTTATTCCTACTATAAAAATCATTTAAAGCCCATTTAATTGGGGTCACCCCGGTGCTGAAAGATCTTCAGGATCATGTTTGTTACATACATCTTTTCTTGACAGGGCTCACAGCTCTCAGAGGCAGGATTCCCCTTTGGGGTTTCCACAGCCCCTGAATCTTATGGTTTAATCATACCACAAGGTTTTCTCCCCTCTACTTTCCTGTGTCCTGCTTTGCTTACAGACTTTGTGACAGTTCTGACACCTAAGCGTGGTATTTTGGAGAGAACTTATCCCTGTCTGACTTCACTGGCACTGGCATTAATATGGAAAAATGGATTAGCAGCTATTTGTGCTTTTTTAATATTTAATATTTGCCATCAGAACATTTTGACTGCCTTTCCCCTTTGGAAAATAAACTTTTCTAAAGGGCAGTATCATGACTGAGCATCACTGAGGATCTTGCTGAGTTACCATGGGTGGGCTGAGCCGTGACACTGCGGCACCAGAACAGACAGACCACGGTGACACGCAGGAACTTCTCCAGCTGGGGAAGTCTGGTAAACCAGCTGATCTCCAGTTGCTTGGTCACTGCTATTTCTTGAGAAACTTCCTGTATTTCTTCTGAAGACTAAGCCAAGAATTAAGATTTTGGGGGGGTGATGGGGTTAGGAAGAATTCAAAACTACTTAAAACAAAACTGAGAAAGACGTCTTGGAAGAAAAAGCTAAAACAAAAAATTATTAATTTGAAACCCTGTAACCCCAAAGCCATTCAAGTGGATTGCAGAAAGTCTACCCTTTTTCTTTTTTTTTTTTTCTTTTTTTGATTTTGCAACCAGTTCTTCAAGTTTTGCAGCCCAAAATCCCCATGTCAGATGCCAGAGGCTGGACTCTGTTCCCTATTACAAAGCAGTGTCAGGGCCAGGTAAAATGCATACCTAAACTTCAACTACACAAGTGAAACTCCAATAAGTTTCCCTACCAAAAATACAAATCCTTCAAAAGCACATGCTTATCATACTTTTTTAAACATTAGAAGTGTTTAATAGGGTTATCAGGTATGATGTACCTTGGTCTACCATTCAAAGCAAAAACTATCAAACCTGTCAGAGTTAAAGTGTTAAGAACCCTAACACCTTCCCGCAAAGGTACTATACAAGTGCCCATAAGTGCTGCCCTGATCCTGCACGTGCTTTTTTTTTTTTTTTTTTACTTATTTGAACAGCTCTTCATCCATTTCCATTGACATTACCAAAGGAGAAAATGCTTCAGGAGTGATGACTCAACGCAAACCCTCCAGGCTGATCACTGTCCCATGAATAACCCTAATTGTTCTAACAGTCTTTCTAGCAGATTTTTAGTAAGGTTGAGTAAATACTGATCTGAGAGTTTCTTTAGAAACTAATCTTAAAATATGTATATTTTAAGAGGATATGATAGCCTTCCACTGAGCAGCTTCTCATAGGCTAGAACCTCATGGACATCCCCTGTGTGAGCAATCGACTTTGTCAAAGCAAGATCACTGGAAAAACAGCCCTATACCATGCAGATCAGGGAATTAATCATGATAAACACTCATTACCACAATAAAATTAAGAATTAATACAATGATTACCATTTGAGCCTGCCTTACTAGATTTTTACATGTGGAGTTAAAATAAAGTGGTGACAAAAAAGCAGAAGTAGAAAGATTAAATGGTGTTTCATTATAGCTAAAGTCCCTGTTCAGTTCTGTGTCTCTGTGTAGAATGAGCTTCCCAACTGCATTGCTGGAATATTTTTACTTTGCTCTGCCTGATGATGCACCTACTCAGCCCAAGCCCAATCAAATTCCCGATTTCAGAATACAGCAGACTCCCCACTGGTCAAAGCCAATGGAATACTTATCCACTGAATAAGCAGCACCAAACACAACAAACCTGAGTTTCAACTCCCAACACAGAATAACACATATGTGTATAACTTTCAGCCTCCGAGATGCTCCAGTGCAGTCACTGGTGGTCTTGGGTTGTATCTCTAAGCATGAGAGAAGAAACAAACACACAGTCCTACCTCCTTCGCATTTTTCGGCGCAGAACAACTTTGCTCCCACCGCTCACCCGGAGATTGGAGACTATCATGAGCTCAGCCTCACAGCAAGAAGTCTTAGCACTTTGCTCCCCCTTGACTGCCCGTCATCCTGAATGTCTTCAACCAACCACTCAGGCCCCAATGAGTGACCTGTGTTACTTTAGAAATGAAGAGGCCAGCACATTTTCATCAACGCACCAAATATTCCGTGCAAAATAAATGATCAGCAAGTGAATGGACGTACAGGAGCTATAATGAACAGCCCATAACCAAACTCCTTGCTTGTCTATAGCCTTCCAGGCTCAAATGAGTAATTAAGCAAATAACCACGTTCTGCACCATGTTGCATCTGCCAACAGCGAGCAGATACAGCCCAGTCCCAGCTGGCCAGGCTCAGCTAACTGTGGCTTTACAAGTTGTCAGGCAGGTATTTCGTTGGTAATTCACAAGTTGTCAGGCAGGTATTTCGTTGGTAAGAGACATTATTTCTGTATCTTACATGTGCACCTTTCTGCCCTGATTTATGGCAAGCTGCAGAGAACTGAACAGAAGCAGGTGAGCACTGCGGTATCTGCATGGACCTGCACGTATCTCGGGCTCTTCAGTCCGTCCTGAAAGGCAAAAGCAGCGCTCAGCTAAAGCATCTGAAGAGCTGGTCAACAACAAGCTGTGATTCAAATGAAGCAAAGGCTGCCCTGGTCTGTGGCAGCCCTGCACGTCAGAGATGTCCTCGTCCTTCTGCTCCCCGACTCTTTGTACGGTGCAGCCAGAGCTGAGACCTCAGGCTAAAATGCCCAAAACCCAGCACTCAGGGCTTTTTAAATCATTGATTTGCTTCTTTGCTTAACTGTTTTAAAAATGTGCTTGAGAAACAATTCCCAATTGGTCACAACCCTTTACGATGCTGTGAATTCACAAATATCAGTGTACAAGGATGAAGACCTGGAGACTGTCTGCTGCAGTGGAACACCGTGCAAGACCAGAAATTACTGGCTTGTTTTTTTACTGCACCTCTGGGCTGTGAAAATGCAGTGCTGCTTCTTGGTATAGAATAGTAATTATTGTTTGTATTTAAGGATAATTCCTACATTTGCTTCCACTCTAAGCCAGCAGGTTCTCTTTGAATGTATCCCCATTCTTCCCAGGGATGATCTACATGCTCCAGCTGTTTTTCTGTGCTTTGTGCAGATACTCCAGTAAGTCTGATGCAAATCATACTGGTAAAAAATATTCTCTACCAATTAATTGGAGATCTAAAATGCTTTCATGTTATTTAATTACGGGTGGGGAGGATACCTGCATCTTATCAACCCTTCATCACAGAGGAAGTTCAACATAAAAGACAACTTCATTTTTAAAACAATTTTATGCTTCATGCCATACATGCATATATACATGAACAATAACAACAAAAAGTCCAGGGAAGAATTACTAAACATAAAAGAACCTCTCAAAAACCTGAAAACCTCCCGAAGTACAGACTATATTATGCATGGATGGATTTCTTGGATTGCCATGAGTGATTCCAGAAAGAAAAATACCTTTCATTCACACTTCGATACTACTCAAAAAACATACATGCTTCCATGCAGAGACCCATTGCAGAACAGGACATTTATTTCAGGGTACTTGTAGACTTGCTTTATGTAGTGTGAATCTTAAACAGCAAGGAGAATGGTAAAGTGAGAAATGTAAGCGAGGTATTATTTATCTCACCCATGTCTAGAAAGCGCCTCTTAAAAAATAAGTTTTATATGGTGTAAATTACTGCACAAACCTTAACATAGTAGAATCACATCCAGGCAATCTCTGGACCTAATTCCCTCTTTCTCACTTAATCTGCACTAGATGACAAGTAAATCCACTGCAGCACAATGAGTTACATCAGAAAATGGTACAAGATGAGAATCGGGTTGTGTGAATCACCTGGGAATATTTTGTGCTTCCACAGCTTATCAAGGAGATGCACAACCTGAAATACAGCGTCCAGTGCTCTTCAGCACAGTAAACCCTTTTATACTCCTGAGGCAATAAAAGGGATCATACAACACAAACACAAAGCAATTTAGGCCCTTATCAAGATTATGACCCAAAATTAATCTATTAAAAAGCGCTGTGTGAAAAACACTATGTCATCAATAACATTTTATAACAGAAGGTCTGGCAGATGGAAAAGTTCAGAACCAGTTTAATCAGCAACATGCCCGTCTCTCAGTTTTATCTTCCCAGATATCAACCTACATTCGAGAGGGGTTACATTCGTTCAAATACACACAGTTTAATGATCAACTCGTTGGTCTGCCTCTTCTAAAATGAAGAGGAGTATAAATAGATCAAATTCTTCAACCCAGCACAGTCAGACAGCAAAAGGTGTTAGCAGGAAAACTCTCTGCATCCTGAACAACCGAAGAGTATCAGGAGCAGAAAACATGAAAACCATTCTAGTTTTTCTATTCATCGCCCCACTTGCTCTTTCAGCTAGAGCTGAGAAGGATTATTCCTCCTTTGACTCTGCGGCATCTCCCGAGACAAAGTCAAGATTTGCCATGTTAGATGACGTACGAATCTTAGCCAATGGACTCCTCCAGCTCGGGCACGGTCTTAAAGACTTTGTCCATAAGACGAAGGGGCAGATGAATGACATCTTTCAAAAACTTTACATTTTTGATAGGTCCTTTTATGAGCTCTCCCTGCAAACCAGTGAAATCAAAGAAGAAGAAGAACAGCTCAGACAAACTACGGCCAGGCTGCAAATCAACAACGAAGAGATAAAGAATCTCTCACAGGAGATGAATTCCAAGATTGAAGACCTCATCCAGAACAAAATCCAGCTGCAAGAGAAAGTATGGGGACTGGAAGACAAAGTCACAAAACTGGCCATTAACCAGCCTTCGGCGCAAGAGACAAAAGAAATTTCTTCCCTCAAAGTAAGTAGATTTGTGAAAGCCCGACACACAGAGCCAAAGTAAACTCTAATGCTGTCAGCAGTAGTTATGCAATAGAAGCTCATGTTTTCCCTGCACCTTCACTGTAGTACTACTGTGTATTTTGAGAAAAAAATCACTGCGATAATCTTAAAAGAATCAGTGTCTTAATCTGACATATTGTTTATTCTGCTGTAAAATTCCCCAGTGAAATCAGTGAGAAAATCGTGACATTATAAGGCTCTGTACCTTTTTCAGTATTTTTTTGTAAATCAGTTTTAAGGAATTCTGTAATAATAATGGTAGAATATATTGCAATCAGAAAAGTGATATGATTACCAAACCCATAGGTTTTTATGTCATCAGCTCATTACGAATCAATGCACTAGGAACTGCCTGCTCAGTATAAAACCAGGAAATTTAAACCTTTAAAGAGGGATATCTCTAGTACCTATATGACCTCCAGCACTAAACTTGCAAGTGTTAATAGACTTAACGTCAATACAATGCAAATATTTAGGTGGGTATAAGATTTTCTGTGGAAAAAGACACAGTACCTGTATTTTGCAGGAGCATAAGTCTAAGCAATTTGTGTGAGAAAATACTGGATATTTGTTTCAAAGCAGAAAGATGAATCCAGATTTCCCAAATCCCAAGTTAACACCCTAAAATGCTGGGAATCATTTCCTTTTTTTAACTCCACATTTAGTCTGAAACAAGGGCCAACTACACAGAATGTAATTGTTCTGGACACGAAAATGGAAGGAAAATAACACCAACAAAAGGTTGTGAAGGTCTGCTGCTGCTTCTAACCACAGTCCATCTCCCTCCCTGTCCTCAGGCTTTTGTGGAAGAGCAGGACAACCACATCAAGCAACTTCTCAAAATCGTAGAGGACCAGCATGTGCAACTGGACAGACAGCACAATCAGATAATGGAGCTGGAGGACAAGGTATGGGAACCATCTCTATTTCTCTTTTCAGAATTTGTCATGGCTCAACCATTCATTCAGCTCAGCCATCCCTCTTGCTCACAGTTTGGGAGTGTAGAGGAGGGTATAAACAATTTTGACCACAAACAGGTACTTTTCTGGGTGAGAAACTGCTGTGCTGCCAGGCAGGGGGCTGTGGCCAGGGCACACGATGACCAAGAACACAGCTTTGAACTCCTGTCTATCAATAGCAGGCTGCTGCAATTTTTCCCACTGCTAATTTTCTTTTTTTTTTTTTTTTTTTAGCACAATCAGATAATGGAGCTGGAGGACAAGGTATGGGAACCATCTCTATTTCTCTTTTCAGAATTTGTCATGGCTCAACCATTCATTCAGCTCAGCCATCCCTCTTGCTCACAGTTTGGGAGTGTAGAGGAGGGTATAAACAATTTTGACCACAAACAGGTACTTTTCTGGGTGAGAAACTGCTGTGCTGCCAGGCAGGGGGCTGTGGCCAGGGCACACGATGACCAAGAACACAGCTTTGAACTCCTGTCTATCAATAGCAGGCTGCTGCAATTTTTCCCCCGCTTATTTTTTTTTTTTTTTTTTTTTTGTCTTATTATCCATCATATTATTGTTCTTCCACTGGTCTTTTAAGTATCATTATTTTCCCTCTCTTTCTTCTTTTCCAATATTCACTCCCATAAGGAGCCACGTTTGGCAGTTCAACACGTGTCACCGTAACGCTGCTCTAACTGACATGCTCATATTTAATTTATTCCTGAGAGGAGGCTATGAAAGGAAAACACATCTCAGCCTAAGGAACTGTGGGTTCCGTGCTCTTTAGATATTGGTATTATTTGTCTAAGTGATGTCACCTGAGGAAATAAGTTAAATCTGTTTGCCCATTAAGGTGCACCTCATGAGAAAGGGTCATTTACTCACCTCATGAATCCTACCTTGTTTGAGCAAGTGGCACAGCTGACATTCCTGCAACTGAAATCCAGCAGTGCAGTTCTAAAGTGATTTTTATGCTGGAAATTGGGTATTCTAAAGGATTACATTCACAGGAAAAATAATTCTCTGCGTGACATTGTTTGGCTTGATATATGAATCTCGTCACTTCAGAGCCTTGGGAAATTAAGAGTCTGTAATTACGTTTCTTTCAGCTAAACCACATAGAGCTCCAGGAACTCGCAGAGAACTCCTTCATGGAGGAGCTGATAGAACCAGAGGCTATCGCCTTTCCTGTGCACAACACCACAGCTGCAACAAACAAATCTGATGGTAAGACCTTCTCTCTTAGACATAACCACAATATTTTGAATTTGCAGTATTCTCCGTGAAAGTTTGTGTTGGTTTTTAATAGCCAAAGACCAAAAGTAAAGGGCTGTTACGTTATATACAGAGCTGTGGGAAGGAGCTGGATTTCCTGCTTTGGAAAATGTCATCATCTCCTTAGCCCCACTACACGTGGACTTGTTTTTGGGGTGACATAAGGAAACAACATCCTACAACACAGTAACTCTGTCCTCAACCTCAGCCTCCAGCCACCCCTTGTAAGCAGATGCTGTGACCACCCTTTTACTGACACTTGTGGCATTGCTGATGCCTGTCTTGGAGACCATGAAGAGAAAATTAATTTACTTCACACTGGTTAATGATAAGATTTGGAAGAGCTTTCTTTAAAGTTAAGAAGCATTTGCCAACTGTGGCAATAGGAACAGTATTTATTGGGAATTTTACTTGGGGTAGGGAAGGCCATTTGCCAGAGTCTAGTTTTAGGCCTTAAAAACTTTCCAAAATTACCTAAATTGATACCTTGTCTAACTTAAAAAACATAGACAATTCAACCTATGTACGACTGGGCAGCTGTACTACCGAGCCCAAAGCAGTTTGTCCATTCAATGACAGTTATTGTAAAATAAAATAACCAAAAGGATGGTTCTAGTTTTTGTTTTGGCTGTATCCCATCTAGAAATTCAAATTACAAGGCTGGATTAAAATTTACCACGTCCAGCCCCGGATTTGTGACTGTCTCCTCTTTCCTTCCCCAGGGGCTGCTCCCGACTGCACCGCTCTCTATAACAGCGGCATCCGCTCCTGTGGGGTTTACACCATTAAGCCCAACGGCTCAGAATCTTTCGATGTCTACTGTGAAATGAAACTGGGTAAGACAGCTGTGCCAGCGACAGTCTAATCCTCACATAAGTAGCTTCCTATAAGCCAAAAACCCCCGTCTCATCCCAAAGTACACACAAACTTGTCATGATTCATGTATCCCCTTGACTTCTCTTACTGGCCTGTCCGGAAAACTCAGGTTTCCCATATCCTAAAGTCTCTTTAACACTGCTTTCTTTCTCTACTCATCTCCTGTTTATACTGAGGAAAGGACTTTCAATCATCTGACATAAATGAATATATATTACAAAACCCAAGCCCCTCGAGCTATAGATAATGAAAATGGCAATTACAAATGCCATTCTATTGCAACCATTAATAGTTTTTCCAAATAGAAGCAAACAATAAATTGTACATCCCCTAGCAAAATTTTGTTTCATTAACAAGGGTTATTGTTTGAGAATTAAACATACCAAACTAACCCAAAGAGGCAAGCCCTGGAGACAGGATTCCTGTATCACGTTTGGATGAGTCTATAGCTTTGGGTGAGACCACACTGGTCCAGAATTGCCCTGGGCTCTGTCTTTGTGAGAAACCCATTTGTCTGTTCCTACCAAGAGATCACACGTCTTTTGGCCAGCTGACTGTCCCCTGGTTTTTCCACCCCACAACGCAGCATCCTGCAGTGCTGCCCTGTGTCCTGCCCAGCTTCCCCACACGATCCCTTTGCCACAGCCACCCGGAGAGCCAGGGGACACACCAATGCAGACGTGGCAGGGCCATGACGTTTGTTTGGATGTGTCAACAGAGAGGCACGGGCTTGCCCTGTGCAAAAAGCTGACATTTGTTGAAACTGGTGAAAGGAGGGTGTCATGACCTGGCAGGAGAAAGGCCTCACCACAGCCCTGGTGTGGACACGACCTCCAACGTTTCATACCTTCTGTGGAGCTGCGCTCCCAGCCATCAAGCACTATCAGTAGAGCGAGGCTGACAATTTGATCAAACATCTGCAACGTCTCATATCTCCTTTTTATCATTTTCCCTGTGTTTGTGTTTCTCGGCCCTCATAAACAAATGAAACCCAGTTAAGGCAGCTGAACAAAGTAAGTCCAGCGAGCTGAGACTTATTCAGGTGCAACAGAGGACACTCGAATGGCCCCACATTCTGGTCAGAGGATGGTCCCAGTTGGTTTCCATCTTCTCTCTAATGCTTTAAAACCTTAAGCCAGGCTTGTGACTTCTTTCCCTTTCACATTCACAGGCACCTCCTGGACTGTCATCCAGAACAGAGTGGATGGATCTCTAGATTTCAACCAAACCTGGGATGCCTATACAAACGGTTTTGGGGACCTCAATGGTAAAAATGCCTTTTTTGTATGTCTTTTCTTTCTACCTAGTTGATTTGAGAAGTTGAAACTTCTTACTGAAAGGTGTTCACATGAAAGCAGAGAAAACCTGCAATCAAATCTGATTAGCTTACCTAATTAGAACACCAGAAAGTGCTTAGCAGAAAACATAACTCAGTAAAATTCCCAAAGACACACCTTCAAATGTGTGTTTAGATACTTTTGCTGAACTAAGGCCAGAATACTTTAAATGCTATTTTAATTATGGACATTTTACTATTTATAACAGCACTTCTCGAAGCCTTTAAAACATATACAAACGGAAAACCTCACCAAGTTGCTGTTACTACTTTCTCTCAAACTTTCTGCAATACTGTTTTGCCTTAAAGAATTCCCACAGCAATTTTTTTTGGCTCAAGCGAGCCGGTGGCTGGGTGTGCTCCCCTCCACAAACACCCCCGGCTTCCCCACTCGGTGGCCAATCCCTTCCATGGCTGGATAGGGTGAGGAAACACCCACTTATCCCTGTTAATCATCAACTCCAAAGAATTCCTAGCACCGAGAGCTGCCCAACAGCCTCCCCATCCAGAATATTTTCCCTATTTTTCTCCTACAACGAGACCAGTCTACTTTTGTTAAGAAAATAATTTTACTTTCTAGGCACAGCACAGACCAAAACCTCACCAATGTGGGCAGCAATATTGAGTTCATTCCACCTCTTTTACAATAAAGAGCTGCTATATCTCAATCTTTCCCACATTTTGGGACAGTAGCTCACAACCAAGGCAGACTTTTACAGTCTGATCATATTGAGTGCTACAGGTGCTCCTTGATTGGTCTCCCATTCCCTTACACACCAACATGAAGCCACATCTTTTCAATGTCCAAAAGACTTTGCAGAGGACTGATCAGCTGTGTCCTACTCAGTTCTGTGCTTCATTTTCTAAGGTGATAAAATCTAAGAGGCTACTGCTCCTTCCCTGTAAATTGTGGGAGTATTTTGTCTTCTGTTGCTTTAAATGCCACCTGCATGAATGGCACTCACATTCAGCTGCACTATTTCTACATGTGGCAATTACCTATTATGCCCTGATACCAGCAGCACTGATAATAAGCTACTTAATTAATATAATTTATGAAACCAATTAAACTAATTATCCGGAATTCTAGCAAAAGGAAAACGCTCAAGTTAAATTCACTTTGTACACAGGGGTATCGAAACCTCCGCTTAGTTCTGCAGCTCTTTCCTTAAAAAATACAACAATTGCAATTAGGTTTTATGTATGTCATTTGCTTCATTTGTCACACAGTTCCAATTATGCCTGTTTGAAATGTCTTCAGCTCCCTCTCAGAGTTTCACAAGAGGTGGGAAAGTTAAGAGAGAAGCTCCAGTTCATTTATATCTTTTGCTTTTATTGATCACCGGTGTGCAATTAAGAAGAGGTAAACAAAAAGAATGTAGCAGGAGACCTCTGAAAAGATCAACAGTCCCCAAGACTCATATTATTGATTTAATTAAAGCAATGAATAAATCCTTTTAAATACTATATTTTCACATATCCTACCCGCAGGTTATCTGTAAAAAACAAATTCAACAGCAGTGTGAGCGACAGGGGGGTTTAGGGAGAGTTTATCACATAACTCTCTGCCCGGTGACTTCTGTCCCCTGACTCTCCCCTCTGACACCTCTGCATTCTGCCATTGTGCAGCTTATTTGAACACCTATTTTCAAATAGTGGTATTTCAAAGGTAATGAGCCATCTGAGGGATGGCTTAGAGGTCTGAAAACCACGGTAAGTGCGGTCCTGCCTTGTTCCATAACTAACAATATCTATTTACTACAACTTTGCAGGGGAATTCTGGCTGGGGCTGAACAAGACCTATTCCATCACTAAACAAGGGGACTACATCTTACGGATCGAGCTGCAGGACTGGAAGGAGAACAAACGATACGTCGAGTACGCCTTCAGCTTGGGGGGCCCCGAGACAAACTACACCCTCCAGCTGTCACGGGTCTCCGGGAGCATCCCCAACGCCCTGCCAGAACAGACACAACTGCGCTTCTCTACTGCGGACCGGGATGTGGACATCATAAATGACTTCAACTGTCCAGAAAACTTCCTAGGTATCAGTATGCTGGGTATAGTAACATGGGAGTGGGTAGTTACTGGTATTACCCTGGCTTTAGATACAGGAAAGAGAGGGCAGCAGCACCTTCCAGCTTGCAGAAAGGGCAGATGATGTTTTTCGCTGGCAGACAGTGAGGTGCTAAACTGAGGAACCACCTTTCTATTTTACAGATAGGTAAAACTAAAGCACAGTGAGGCTGTGCAAACGCCCAACATCAGGAACAGAGCTGGCAGCACAGCTTGAAATAAAAGCCCAGGATGAGATTCTGAGCTGCAAAGTAAAGGGCAGCTCCTCCTCTGATGCCTGGCCTGGTGTGGCAGCCCTAGGCTGGATTGTTTAATCCCTCCTTGCAAAAAAAAAAAAAAAAAAAACAAAACAGAAGACAAACTGACTCTTAACTCCATTTTGACTACAAACCAAAAGTTAAGTATGATGGCAAGCTTCCATCTGAAGGCAGATTTTAGCTGTTTGTCAAGCATACATGATATTTTCCTCCCAAAGGAACAAGAGAGATGCAAAGTTGAAGGCATTACTCCTTAAAGATAATTTGGTTAAAGGATTCCTCATTCTTTGATTTTCTAAAGTTTTTATGTTTTGCAAGTTTATAGCAAAAAGCAAACAATTGAAAAAGCAATTAATGATTAAACCACAGGATACAGAATTGTCCTCCAGACACCTGCTTCATACAACAAACATTTTGTACGTCATTTTTATCAGGGAACGTAGTGATAGGACAAAGGGAAACAGATTTAAACTGGAGGAGTGGAGATTTAGATTAGATATCAGGAAGAAATTCTTTGCTGTGAGGGTGGTGAGAGCCTGGCCCAGGTTGGCCAGAGAAGCTGTGGCTGCCCCATCCCTGGAGGGGTTCAAGGCCATGTTGGACGGGGCTTTGAGCAACCTGGTCTGGTGGGAGGTGTCCCTGCCCAGGACAGGGGGTCGGAACTGGATATCTTTAACATCCCTTCCAACCCAAACCATTCTGTGATTCTATGATTCTAGGCTTAAAAGTTGTTAATGTCTGAAACGATGCTGAGAGTGTTACTCAGCTCTAGTGACCATAAAGCAGGTGGCCAATAACTTCCAAAGTGCTACACTTTCATTTTTAGCATGGAGGCACTGCCAGTCCTTTGCAAGCAGAACTGGGCTTAAATTTAAGCTGATGGTTAAGGACAGTAGCCAATAAGTAAGATAATTTGTTTACTGTAGGCTCTTCAGCCTCCTGTAGATGCAAAGATTTAACTATTTATACCTGAGAAGTCAAGTGACAGTAACTGACATGACAATTTGTTTCCTTAGGAGGCTGGTGGCACAGTGAATGTGAGGAAACCAATCTTAACGGGAAATACGTGGCGCCAAGGTCAAGAGGAAGACTAGACAGAAGAAAAGGCTTATACTGGAAGCCTAAGAAAGGAAGATACTACTTGCTCAAGTCAACTAAAATAATGATACACCCAACAGATTTAAAAAGTTTTGACTGAATGCTCAACCCGATGCATTTTAATTCAGAACATATAAACTGAACATTACTACAGAGAACTTTGGTTTATGTTTAATAACAGGTGTGTATCTAAATCCATACTCTGTATGGTGTATTCTCCAATCCATAAACCTGAGGCATATGCGATGGTCTTACAGTATGTTTGGTGAGTATCCTCATTCCCTCTAGCCCCAACGTCAATGTGCTGTAACTTTCATGGTGCTTTTACCTACTCAGGATGAAATTCTAATGCCTAGGAATCGACTGCCAATTCATGTATTGAATAATATTGCTTGGGGGAGTGGGTTTTCAGGCTGTTGTGTTAATTTCTGGGTTGTGTAGAAGGGACACAAAAGAAGGTTTGGCAAAATGCTATGGAAGATGTTAAGGTATTAATCTACAGGGAAAAAAAGAAATTTTGTTTTGTGAAGTAACTAATTTGATATTTGGTTCATGTTACTGTTGTGGAATGAGCAAATGAAAGGTGGGTGACTCCCTGTTTTAGGGTTCTGTGTATTTCCAGACAAATTTTCAGGTGTGCTTTCAGCTCAGGCCAATCTCTGCTGAAGTGCTGTACTCACACAGCTAGAGGTGTATACACACACACCTGTAGAGCACAGGCTTGATCTTTTAGATACCACACTTTGAAGAGTAACTTAAGAGCTACGTTGTCTTACTGAAAGTTAAGAGCAAAGCTTCAAAGCTTAGTGAAATCAGTAAGAGATCTTTTCTTCTTGTTTGAAATGGAATCAGAGCCATCTCTTTGAGACCTTGTCGTACACCCAACTAAGAAATTAACTGAAAGACCAAGTGAGCCCACAACAAAACACCTTTCAAATAGAGAACAGTTGCCCATTGGGCAACTCCCGTGGAGTCAATGGTATGAACCACCAAACCCTGTAGGCACAACCTACATGACAGTGTTGGTCCTGCTCCTGAGAACACATTGATTAACATAGAAGGACTATGGACAGGCTTGTGGATGGCCAGCCATGGAAGAGCTGACTGACACAGTTCTGCAGTTACACTGAGTCATATTGACTTGCATTATCTTACCTAACCCTTGTACAGTACGGATTTTGTATCTCAACATTTGCAACCACACAGAAAATGGTTTTAAATTGTAACGCGTCAGAGTGAAACGACTGTGAGCAGAATGTGCTAATTACAGAAAAAACTGCAAAAATACTTGTACTTCTCACGTTTTTACTAAAAAGAAGAGATCACACAGTGCTGCTTATTTGTACTGGTGTATTGTAATGTTTAGTTACCTGTCCAACCTCTAAAAACAAACAAACAAATAAATAAATAAAACTTTTGAAAAGACATGAGATATGGAACTGGACTAAATTCTTTCTTTAAAGTTTTGATTTATAAAAACGCAGATTTGGTGAGTAAATTGTTAAAATTACTCAGCTGAAGACAACAATTCCACTCAACCATGAAATGTCTTCAAAGATACTGTGAATAAGCTTTAAATGAATAGTGGTACATAATGAAAAGGAATCTGGTCCCTGCCTGGGCTCAGTTATAGAAAGTTTATTGTTTCCCAAGATACGCTAGAAAAAAATTCTTATCTATCAATCAGATCTTCAGAAGAATTTCTTTCAAGTATTGTAAACAAAGAAATTGCTTTTAAATCAAAATGGAAATATGAAAGAAGGAATTAAGCATTTTCCTTCACTGTTATCTCCCACTTTAAAGAAAAAAAGTCAGTAACTGGAAGTGTCAGCAAGTAATAAAAACAGTAAGAGAATGATGACGTTAAGAGACAGACGAAGAAAAAAAAAATACATAAAACTGAAAAGAATCCAACTAAATTTCACTGAAAATTTGGGTAAATGGAGAAACCTGCTCTCATGCTCTCACAGCCAAGTTTTATGCAAATATGTTTGTCCCTTCACAACTGTGTATTTTCTGCTGTGTCAGTCTGGACCTTTTTTGTGCCCCTGGCACAGCAGTTCTCCTGATACAGCAAGTTTTGCAACAAACCAAATGATAAGGTAGGAATTTCTAGACTTGCCAGTCTCAGACCCTGAAATGTGAAATGTATTTCAAAACTCTAACCTGTATGTGGTATTTGGAACGTAGACATCTCTGGCAGGAAACTCCAGGATTTCTCTTGTAGGTCTGACTCTGCTGTCTGGGTACAGTTTGACTTGCAGCAACTCTGGAGTTAGACAATAATGGGGATTCTCTGGAGCTGGAGATATGTCTATCTTTAATTGAGCTGTAAGAAGAAAATTATTTTATTACAATAAATAGAAGTTAATTTAAATCAAAAAGCATATTCATTCTTTGTTTCTTCAGGTTAATATCCTGTATATTAATTTCCTAAATAAACAAATTATAAGTTACAGCCAATGCAGATCTGTTAAGAACAAATAACAGCGAATCAAACTGATATCTAGGGCAATTGGTGTACCAGATAATAAGAACCAAGAAAAAATAGGTATCTTAACAAGTCCCAAATGCTGTTCTCATAGGAAGCTGGTGAAATCCAGTCTACATAATGCCACTGTGAGGCCCAACTATAGTCAAATACAATATATTCAAAGTCTCATCAGGAATCTTGTGTATCAAACCAACAGGATACATCTAGGAGTTGCTGAAAGCTAATTTGCATCAAGATTATTGAATATTTTCCTTAGCAAGTCAGCTGACAGTACTGACTGCACAATTATTGTTGGTGGATGGCACTGAGGCTGGAATGATTGTAAAATCTGGTAGACGGGAGAGTTGGAGAAACGGTATCAAACAACTAAGGTGAAACATAAGACAGAGCAAAGGACTTGCATTAAGAGGCCAAACACACAAACATTTTAAAAAAATAATAATAATTGGCATGGATCAATTTTGTAGAAAAGCATAAGACAGAGCAAAGGACTTGCATTAAGAAGCCAAACACACAAACATTTTAAAAAATAATAATAATTGGCATGGATCACTTTTGTAGAAAATGGGTGGGTGACAGCAGTGACAATAAGCCAATGTCCAGAAGAAAACTAGAGCCATTCTAAGTGCAGTGTCATGTGTAAGGCACTGGAGACAAATTCTCCTGCTTTGCTCAGCGTGTGGTCTCAGGGGAGCAGTTCAGAGCACTGTGCTTGAAGAAAAGCACGGACAGAGTAAAGAAGTAAGCAGAGAGTAACAGACAATTTTAAAATCACAACCTTTGAGGAAGGGTTAAAAAACCTTGGTTAAAAAAGAATTGGTTAGGCTACAAAACGGAGGCGAGTCAGAGTGAACTAATAACAGTATTCAGGTACTTGAAAGGTTGTGATAACTGCCCCGAGGGCACGACAGGCAATAATCAGATTAATTTGCAGCAAGACAATTTTGCAAAGTTTTCTTAATACCTAACCTGACTACAAGGACAGCTGAGCGCTGGGCGAGATGATCTAAGGAAGCGATAGGATTGCTGTCACCGGAGATTTTTAAGAACAGGTTAAGTAAATATTGTCAGGAATAGCACAGGTCAGGGACTGGCGGTGTTTCACCACCGGTGTGCCAGCGTTTTTATTTCCCCTTTCTCAAACAGAGGTGGAGTCTGTTCCTATTAACCAAGTGGGAGCCGGGAGAGAGACCTCCTCTCAGCAAGAGAGTGGTGTTTTACTGAGGAAAGCAGAGGATCTTCAGCCCCTGCTGGGTTTAGGGTTTTGGGGTTTTTTAATCTGCTCGCTTATAAGAACTGGGTGGTAACTGGAAGGAATAACATGTGTGAGGCAAGAGGATCTCATTCAATACCTGTGATGGGTCTCAATCTCCGTAACACTGAGGATGGCCGTCTCATGTCAGCAAGGAACTTGTACAAATCTTCATCACTCAGGCGATCGCCCTCCTGTTGGATGTTGGGAAGGAAATGGTTATCTACACAACCCCTCAGCATTGAGAGAGAATGAAAAAAACGTCTAATACCGTAGTCTCCTTCCCCCAATATCAAAATGTACCTTCCCCGAGCAAGGTGTACAGATTAACACGCTAAATTACAATTCATGTCTCCATCCTTTTTCCCTTCCTTTTTTCCTTATTAATCATCATGACAGCTGCGGGAACTTCTCATTGAAAACCTTTTCTCTCCCCATCAATATTATCTTTTTCAAAACTGAGACTGGCTGTTAAAAGATTCCCCCAAAATATCCAATTTTTAGCAAGTATAATAGTTTGAAAAAGTATCCGTCATTCAGGTAGTGATCCTCATTCCTTCTCCTCCCCCTTTTCTTTGGCATGAGCCTAAAAGAGTTACTTTTCAGGAGAAGTGTTAAGAAACAGTGGGAAGTGGAAGGAGTCTGTTGTCAGTCTTCCTTCTGCCACATTCTGGTAGCTCAGAATTTCATTAATTTTGGAAACATTATAGAAAATGTGACTCTGCCACCCTCTAACTATCTAAAAGCAGAAGATATCTGATAATAAAGGTAATAAATCACAATATAAAAAAAAGAAGCAAATGGAAGGATAAAAATGATGGGTAGTATTCAATTAATTGTACTCAACAGGAGAAAAGGAAGGGAAGATCAAAAATGAAAGATACAGAAGAGTTAGAAACTTAAAATCGAAACTCAACGTTCAGCAATTTTTAAAGGACAAACTGATAAAACAAGCTGTTTCAAAGTTATCAAGCGAAAACAACCTTGAAAAAGTAAATAAATATATGCTTTTGTAAATTATTACTAACTTAGTGAACTGGTGTGTGTTACAAAGACAGCTACAGAACGCGGGCAGTGGAACGGCTGCATTAGCCATACATTACAAATACTTTTTTTTTTTCTTACTTTCACACTTTTCTTGGGTCAATACATTACAGAACTGGATTTCATTAATATCCCAAGTAAAAGGAACTTCCTGCACTGCTCTGTGTCACTGAGACCCCAGAGATACCATTCGCAGAGCCCGCTGTGTTTCACGGAAGCACAGAGCAGCAGAGGCACCGGTCACCCTCCACTTACATGGTCTGTACCATGATAACTCTGTGCCCCTGATGACATTCCTCCTTATTTACACTACTATATTTAAGAGCAGACTTTGGATGGCCATCCAAAAAGTGGCACGTAACCAAAACAATCAGAAAAAAAAAAAAAGAGCTTAACCAACTTTCAACATATAGAATTTAAATCTTTGTATTCCCAGTGATCAAGAAATCAGTCCAAAAAATATCTGATTGGACACTATTAAATCCCATTCTATACACAAAGGTGACATTGAAATAACAATTCACCTTAACTAGATATGGCATTAAGCAAATCTTAGCAAAAATTAATGAACAGAAACCATTCTCTAAGCTTAACTAAAAATTTTATTCAGTTTAATCGTGTTTTCTACCACTTCTCAGGAAAATCCCAAGCTCTGGGTAAGAGAATCTGCCACTCGGCAAAGCAGCATCAGAAGTGAAATGCTTTGTTTTCTCAGGACTGTTTTCTCATCCCTAGACACATCCAGGGAACTGATGCCAACCTCAAATCATATTGATGAACCCAGTTCTGAGCCTGCTGAGGTTTCAGTGGGATTGTCTATCACCCAATGAAACCAAAGGAGTCAACTGACCATCCTGATACAGGCTATGCAACCTCTAGACTAGGACAAATCTCTGGAATACTTTTTGGCACGTACTAACCCAAAGAAGTTATCCTCAGGTTTTATGAATTTGCTTCTGTATGTGTTTTTCCAAATATTTTCACCAAATAGTTTTACCAAAAGGCCAGGCAGTGATTTTTCCAATGCATGTTAGAAAAATCTGGAGCAAAATAAACTGGTGTTCTTCTGGGGAGACCCCGTTCTATTAGTTGGAGTGGTTAAATCACTATGCCATAAGATGCTTTATCATTCAAGTCAAAACAGCTAATTATTTCAAATTCCATGACATAATTAATCACAGTAAGTATTCTTAGCACCTGATATAATAAACCCACCACATGCCATTCAAAGATATCCTGGGATCAAGGAACAAGACATTACATGTGTTGAAAGCATCAAAAATTAATCATTCAGGTCTAAACTGACTTCACATGATCAAATCATTCTGTCCAAGCAGCAACTCCTTAATTAGATGGCTTCATACAATACCTGTTTAAAGAAGTTTGTCACTGTCAAAGTAGCTGGTCTAAAACTGGTCAAATTGCAAGCCTCATCCCCACTTGTGGTTCTTTCTAACGAACGTCTCCCGACAATACTGGAATTCCGCCTCTCTGACCACGATCCTTTACGTTCTTCAAAAAATACAAAAAGGGGGAGGAATTACCAAAAAAAAAAAAAAGAAGAAAAACAACTGACCAAGAGCGTACTTTTGTCCCAACCAGGATTTTCTACATCAGAAGATAGCTGCTGCTTTTGG